TAGGGACATGTAAGCAGTCGGCTGTGGTGAGTGAAAGGGACAGTTTTTCTGCTGCGTCAGACTCTGTGACTGTGTTTTCTGGAGCTATTTTTTGTGTGTCTTCTGAATATAACAATAATTTTTCCGTCTCACCCATGGCCACTGTTCCAAAGACTGCCTTTACTGAGCCCACATTCAGGGTTAATGACTGTGTTCACGCTGTTGTTTCTAAACCTGGAGTTACTGAGTCAAGCACCACGAGTTTAGGGAATGACTATGTTAGGGGAGCCTAACATGCACGGTCGGCCCCCTGAACTGTTTTGGCTCTTGTGTTGTCGACCTTCGGGTCAACCCCCAGACTTTACTGTGGACTCATGAATAGTCTTGTTTTGTGTTGACCTGTTTTTGGTTTGATCTGGACTCTTGTGCTCCTTGTTTTTTGTTTCACAATATAAATATGAGAGGCTACAACTACACAACAAAAAACAAATAAAAAAAAAGACAAATGACAAATATATATAGAAACACAAATACCAGGGTGATGAGTTATGTGATTGATACATTGCCTTTTAATGTATCAAAATCCCTTATTGACATATTATTGTATCATGGGTTCCTGTGACTCTAATTGCTAATTTATTCTCCAAGGTAATTGAACTACACTTCTTCAGTCGAAATGATATAAGTGAGGAAATTCCATAATTTTAGATGTTTAAATCTTCAACATAAAATGAATATTTGATACAATAACTACATAGATTTTGTGATGTGCTACACAAAGACGCTGTTTAAGAGTAAAAGGGGGTCTTGTATTGCTATGAGATTTTTAATAAAGTCAGTCTTTGCATGTATGTGGCCTACCTTTCACATCTTCATCCTCAATAGTTGTGTTGCTGCTATCAGATGATTCCTGCAAAGTACAGAAACCTGATTACAAAAAATTCACATAAATAATTAATAAAATTAATAAAAATAAATGTGTTTTTTTACACATCCATAAATGCATGCACACATATTCACAACACGCTCAAATTTCTTCATTAAAATCTACAAAACCTCCACACCATGTATACCAAGTATACAAAGCCAAGCATTTGACTTTGCATCACTCCGACACAATGGACTGAGCTGTCTTACCATAAATGGACAGAGACACACATTTCTTAGCCATTGTTACACATAGGTTGTACAGTGGTGGTATGGTGGTTACTCTGGTAGCACTCTAGTTGACATATGAAGATTGCTAAGCCAGTGGCAGAACCATTGAGCTCCACTGATCTAAACACAGTAGGGGACCATAAGACAAAGAAACACCTCACAGGACTCAAGCAACTCACACTCTCTCTGTCTCCCACATGCATAAATATACAAAGAGATGCACACATTTATTAAAGAAACTTCAAAAACCCTGAAAAATACAGTTTAGCCCACATGGCTAGAGAAACAATGTAGGGACGACAATGACAAATGAAAACCAGTATAAGAAAATAATATGTGGACAAAAGGGAGGAGGATGTACCTTGATCCCATCTACTGGATTATGGATAACAGTAGTCTGAGGTTCCTGGAGGAAGAATGGAGAGAAAGAGAGGGGAGAAAACAGAAAGAAGTTGTGGAAACAAGTGAAGGTGTTTCATGATGGCAAAAAAAGGTTGAGAGACATAAGAGAAAGATAAGCACAGCGTAGGATGTGAGTAACACATGGAAAGATGGTAAAAATTCTGAATAGTACGTTAAAGATTGGAAAGAGTTCATGGTAAATGATGACCTTAAATTCCCAATAAATCCACAATTGTGAATGATAACTAAATTCTCTGTCGCATGCATTCTCTCTCTCATCAAAGTGATCACTTTAATCCCATTCATTTTATTCTAATTTAAATAAATGCAGTTAGTGTTGTAACCCTCTCTAATCTTGTATACAATAACTTTCAATGTATGGTAGTGTACTACATGTATGTGATTCTGCCACACATATACAGTAAGTGGTGTAGAAAATTTTGAAAGACCAAAACAATGCATCCCAAAGTATTTTATCTACCAAAGCTGTTTATAACTTATTGTTAGGTGCATTTATTGTCAAAAAGTAATTTTTGTAATTTAAGTTTACTGGTTAGTTCTGAGGTCATTCTTATTACATTAATGAGTTTGTTTACGATCAGTTTAGTTTCTTTTCTATTGGGTTCCCCTTGTGTCTTTGTCCTGTGTTCCTCTGTTTGTGTCCTTGTGTCTCGTCTCTCCTTCCTGTTTACATGTTTCCCTTGCTCTGTCATGTGTATCCATGTATGTTTTTCTTCAGCCCCTCATGTCTCACTCCCTCTCTCAAGTGTGCCTTCTAGCTCACTTGCTCGTGTTGTCACAGTGTACGTCTCGCTATGTTTCCTGTTTTATTTTGATAGTCCCGTGTTCCAGTGTGTTTAGTTTTGCGTCCCCCGTGACCTCATGTTCATTTGTGTCAGCTGTGTTTCCCATGTGTTTCCACTTCCCTCGTTATCCATCCCTGTCTCCCTTTGTTCATTGTTGAGTAGTCTGTTTACCTCCTCACGTTTCCATGGTTCATGTCATCTGGATTTTCAGGTTTCATGATTTAGTTTCTACCAGTTTAGCCTCCCAGCTGTACCTTGTATTAACTGTATTATAACACAGACATGTCTTCTCAGATAAACTGAATATATATTTTCACAAAATTAAGACTGGATTTTTTTCCCACTGGAACTGCAAAAATCTTTTAATGGCCTACACAAATTCACTTGGTTCTGAAGTACTAAGACCTGATAGATATGGACCATATTTACCATGCATGGTATGTCAAGTATTGCCCCTACTCTAAATGTTTCAAATAATAGGTGTAGTGTAAAAGTGTAAATGCAAGTAATGTGTGTGAACCAAATCTCAGGCTCACAAAAGTCCACTAAATGATAAGTAGTGATTAATTATACGTGAACTGAGAATCAGGCAAATCTACAGAAGTTTTAAAACATGGAGCTAAAAATAAACACAACATATCACTTTTAGTAGCATAGAAAAGTGTTGTCATGGTTCTGGGTCATTTTGACCCAGCATTTTCAGTTCCTTATGTTTTGGTATTCTTCTGTATTATGATTTATCTTTATTATTATTATTATTATTATTAGTATTATAGGTTTGGTTTAGTGTCGAGTTTGCGTCTTGGTGATTTTCTCTTGTTTCCTGTTTTACTTTGAAGGTCTATGTCTTATGTGCAGTGAATCTAGTTTTAGTTCCCTCTGTCTCGTTAGCCCTAATCTCTCCCAGCTGTGTCTCCCTCCTGTTTCCCATTCCCTGATTACGCCTCTGTGTATATAAGCCCTATGTTTTCCTTTGTTCTCTGTTGCGTTGTACCCTCAGATTTTGCCTGTGTGTTCCAGTTAGTGCTTTCATGGTTTGGTTTTTGTTCTTTGCCAGCAATAAATCTGTGGTTTCGAGTTGCAATTTTGTCTCCACGAGTCCTGCGTTTGGGTCCTCATCCCTGCCTGCTCGCACACACAGCCTTAACAAGTTGACATAGGTACCATAAATGTCAACTTTTGTTTCAAATTGATGCAAATTTTAATCAGTTTTCTTCAGTTTTTGATTGAAAAGTGCAATGTTTCACAGCCTCCTGGCTGTAAGCCTTTTAAAGTGGTTTTGATTGGAAGTGAGACCAGGTGCATTCTCCTAGTGTTTTTAGATTTTTAAACAATTACAGAGATGTGGACCATGCATTGGTTCCCCAGCGGGACTCTCAGTTCTACTGTCCTGGGGACATTAAAGTAGAACTGATGGAATGCAGAAACTTCTTGAGCTGTGACTGCAAGCATAAAAACAAAAATCTTCACTTGCCACCGGCTATGTTTTCATCAACCATAGATGACTGCTTAACAGCAAATGCTCTGAAAATGGTCCAAACACATAGAAGCATATCATCTTGAAAGGATGATTTGCCAAATTTATGCCTGGAAAAGTTTTTGACTTGTATAGACCCATCCCAGAGGTTTGCAAATCAAGAAACAACCCAATACAAAGCTTCTTGATGTGTGGCTACAACCACAGCAACAAGGTTATTTTATTATGCATTAACCAGCCAGTTAAAAAAGAAAATAAAAACCCTAAATGGATCCATTAGTAGTTCTCAAGCGAGCACCCCAGTGGGTAGTGACTCTCACTGTTTCTTTTTGTGCCTTTTGGGTTATGTATGCTTGTATCTGGATCCTCCTAGAATCATGTTTTTACAGCAGCACATGCATGGACACCTTTACAAAGAATGAACACAAAGAATAATTCCAATAAGTACAACCTGTGTCAGTATTTGTTTTATTTTAAGGGGTTTGTTACTGGGATTGGACCTAACTGTACTCTCTTGGTAAGAAAGGGAAATGAGTTAAAAAGCAAAATTATTGAGCTGTTACTTTAAAAGCGATTGAAAACTTCATAGCACAAAATCATAGCAACAACCCATAGAGCTTTTCCTTTTTTTTCTTTTTTTTACCAAAACCATACATGTCTCCCCCTTTCTCAGTCTCTCTTTGACTGTCTCTCTCTCGCCCACACACACACACACACACACACACACACACAGCACACACACACACACACACACACACACACACACACACACAGACACACACACGCACACACACACACACACACACACACACACACACACACACACACACTGCTAGAAATGTTTTGGACAGACAGAAACACATAGAGCTGCATACCAGTGCAGCAGAGGGGATGTTGCCTTTGGGACTGGTGACTATGCTGTTTCTCGTGCTGTTTGTTTGAGGCTGTGCAGGAAACAAAAAGTATTATATTAGTACTCAGCAACCATTCTGAGATGTGACCTTTGCTGGTAGTGAAGTGGGTGGTAACTGTGTAAAAGTATACAGTTAATAATAGCTGACGGCAGCAAAATTCTCCTAAGACAAAAGTAGTGTCTAGAATCAAGAGTGTAGTCGTTCAACTATGGATCCAAAACAGTTTCCACACTTTTTTTTTTGCTATATTATTAATCAGGTAAAAAAGTTTTCAACAATCTTTCATGCTGACTCATTTCTCTATGCAGGAAAATCCAAACACCAATCACAGCATTTTTCTTTTTCATTACTGCCCACTGGCTGTGGATGTAACCTGGCAAATGGTAAATTAAATAAATAACAGCTGATCAACTCCACAATATCTGTCAAACATGAAAAACAAGCATCTATTTTGACTCACTGCATTAGTATCTCTAATGTGTCTTCCTGACATTCAAATAGAGAAAATGAGGTCAAAACGTAACAGAGATGCAAAACTTATGAAACAAAACAAACACAGAAAACACAGCCAGCCACTAGTAACATGTTAAATGTACAGCAAAAAGAATCACAGGCATAACTTTTCTATTTCAATTACATCAGAAGAAACATGCAAAAACAGGAATTATTCACAGACTTCATGCTTGAATCACTGGAATTCTATATTTTCTGTTCATATTTTTCCACGGTACAATTGATGTTGTGTTAGGCAAAAGGACAAGAAAAAAAGTCCATATGGAAATTCAGTGTGCTCAGGGGCTGAAGCTGATCTCACCACTGTTGCCAAATACTAACAGCAACGTTTCGTAAAAATGCTAAAAATACTCTCAGCTATCAACTTGTGGAGTCAATGCTTTGCATACTATGCTGTTTAAAAAAAGGCTAGTTGGTTGCAACATCCATGGGGCTTTTCTAGCTGATGGGGAAATCCAAAAAGCTTATATTCACAATTCTATCACTGAAAAAAGGGTAAACTTTGTTAAACACAACATAGTTATATTTCAACAAATTTGTAATGTACTTATGAGAGAAGCATTAAGAGTGTTCTTGAATGCTATTATATTTTCTCACATTAACTATTGCATATCCTCGTATCCCAAGAGAGGGTTACAACACTAAAACAAATTAAGCACCCACCACACATAACCAAAGCTTTGAGATCAACTCGAGGTTACTTTAAGGTTCATAAAGGAACTCTCCTTTCTCCCAATCCGCCTTTTTATTTAAAGCTCTAATGCCTCCAGAGGGACTCCTTTGTTCCCAGCCTCCTGAAGGCCTCTGCCTCTTTCATTACCAGGCCATTTTAAAACCACCTTGAAGGTCCCTGTTTCCTTTGTCACCAGCCTGTTGAGGGTCACTGATGCTGGCTTCCAGCCACACTACCGGAGCATAGCCTTCTAGTCAGTCTCCACAACTGCTTCATCTCTGCCACTGGTCTCCAGGCTGGGCCTCAACCTCAGCATTGAACTTTGCTGGAAACTTATACACATAGACCAGTACCTACTCTTTGACTTGTACCACCCTCTGCAACAAAAGCTTGGAGTAATCAGTATCCTGTAACATCCTTTCCCTTTTGGCAGAAAACATTGCCTTTAAGCCAAAAGGGAAAGAAAAAGAACACATACATTAAGAAAGCTCTTAAAATATCCAACTTATCCCAACTGAGCTTTCAGTTTGAGCTTTCAAATCAGCACAGATGCACAAAAAAGAACGTCACAACACCAAGTAGAAAGAAACAAAATGACAAACAGAACAAACAACATAGTATATGCAGTGCAGTGCAGTGAGGAGTGCTCAGACCTCTAGACTGGAGAAACCAAACAGCCACTCCATAAAAGCATGGCACAACACAGAAGAGCCACCTGGACAGGACAAGGCTCAGAATAATAACACATTTGCACTTAAAGTGCATAAAGTGCATTTAACTTAAACCTGAATAGATTGCTTACACAAACTTATATACAGGTAAATGGATTGGTTCTTATGGAGCACCTTTCTACTCTACTTGAGCACTGAAAGGGCTTTGTACAAAATTCCTCATTTATCATTCAAGCTGGTGATGGCTCACCAACCGGCTATAATAATAGTAGATAATAAGCAGAAAAAGGACACAGTGATAGACGTCGCTATACCAAGTGATAGCAACATCAGGCAGAAGGAACACTTAAAATACATTAATTTAAAGATATTGTAATTGTCGGGATGTCTTTTGCCCAGCAACTCACAAAATTGCTTGTTGTGAAGTTTACTGTTTATTTCTTTCCAAAGTTATAAGAAACAATTACCAAAAATAATACTGAACAGTACATGCAACCTTAAAATACTGTAAATATCTTGTCATTAGGGTTAGTTACGACACTTACGTGTGAAGCTTTAAAAAAAAGCATATTTACAAAAAAAAGCTGGAAACAAAGAGGAGATGTGGAAGTTCTAATGAGAGATAGTGCCTGTGCCAATGCCAGAATGCTAAAATAGCTCCATGGTTGTTTATGTACATTTTACATCATGGTCCAGCAAAGGACAAGCTGTGGTTGTGTAATGATAGATTAATCATCTGGTGGGAAATAATCTGAGATTACCAATCTAAACCCTTAAGAAGGGAGAGGAGGGGTTGTGCGGAGGATGAAAAAGGGAAGAGAAGCTGAAGGAAAATGAAGAAATGTAGGATATGAAGAGTGACATAAGGAAACAGGTCAGGAGGAATGGAAGAAGAAGGGCTTCTGTCTGATGCTTCGTTGTCGGTGGCAACACTTTCCTATTTGTTAGTGATTTATTAAGTTGCAGTGATTTTTTTCCAATCAGAACCACTGTACGATTCAAGTGTTTTAGGCACTTGTGACAGATCTTTAAAATACATTGTGCATGAAGAAAATCATTATGTTTTGCTACACATAAATACAGAATTGCTCTGCCACATTGGACAGGGGAAGCTTCCCATCCAAGCACATGCAAGTCAGTTGACACAGAGATCTATCGAAATCAAAAACATAACTGCTAAATGTTTTACTTATTTTTAAATGTATTCATTTGTTACAAATTCAAGACATATATTCCAGTTATCAGACACTTAAATAAAAATGTGGATTTTGATACCAAATTTTTATGATGTTGTGTGAAATTTAAAAACTGACAAAGTTACTCCATCATCTAAGCAAGTTTTCTTTCTGTGTGATAGAGATACATCTCACAAGAAAGCACATTATACATGCTTCTCTAAGTCATCGGGCGATCGTGGCTCAAGAGTTGGGAGTTCGCCTTGTAATCGGAAGGTTGCCGGTTCGAGCCCCGGCTTGGACAGTCTCGGTCGTTGTGTCCTTGGGCAAGACACTTCACCCGTTGTCTACTGGTGGTGGTCAGAGGGCCCGGTGGCACCAGTGTCCGACAGACTCGCCTCTGTCAGTGCGTCCCAGGGTGGCTGTGGCTACAATGTAGCTGCCATCACCAGTGTATGAATGGGTGCATGACTGGATGTGTAAAGCGCTATACAAATACAGACCATTTACCATTATCATTCAAAGGCATAGCTGATTCCTAGGTGACCCAGAGTTTGAGTTTTTTTGTCTGGACTTGTACTTTTTGTAAGGAGGAGATAATATCTGCTGATATTTTATATCGACAAAGCATTTAATTTAACAAGACATTATCCTCTGTTATTTTGGTACAAACAAACAAAGAAAAATAAATAAATAAATAAATAAATAAATAAAGTTAAACTATGAGCTGTGTGAGACACATTATAGGTAATTACACTACAAATTTCACCCTACTTAAATAAAATCAGATCTATTTGGTTGAATAACTGAGTGTATCCAGCATTTATCAAAAGTATGAGGAGGTACAGGAGGAGGAGCTGTCATGGATGACCAAGCCGCTGCATGGAAAGTACCATCGACAAATAAAAGAAGTAGATGATATCAAGACATCCTACCAGTGACTAGAAAAGGCCAGTTTAAAGGAGTTTGAGTTTGTTTTGGTTTGGTCTTGTTCATTCTTTAGGGAATTGTGCAATTCTTGTATTCAGTTTGCGTGCCCTGGTACTAGTCCTTAGTTCATTGAATTTTGTTCCCTTGCGTGCTCTGTTTGCCCTAGTTTATGTGTCCTCTGTGTGTCCTCCCCAGCACCCCCTGTGTGTAGTCAGTTGTATCTGGTTGCAAATGTAAAGTTTTTGTCTCTGTCTTGCCTCCATGTTTCTCTTGCCCTTTCTCTCTGTCCCGCACTCTAGCTCTCTCACTCATTCTCTGTATTTAGTCAGTTTGATGTCAGTGTTTGTTTTCTCTGTCTTCCTGTGTCTGGTCCATCTGTTTTCTGTTTTATCCTGACAGTCAGTTGTCCTGTGCACATCGTTGCATGCCTCACATGCTGATATGACACTCTGATCATGGCAGTACAGCAACAGGCCCTAAGCACCAGATGCACAACCAGGTCGCTGGGACAGTGTACAGGAACATCTGTGCCACATACAGACTAGCAGTCTGCCCGTCGTAATGAGAGACACCACCAAAGGTGGAAACAACAGCACTGAGATCTTGTGGGACTTTGGGTTCCAGACAGAAAAGCACCTGTTTGCCAACCAACAACACATAGTGGTAGCTGACAAGGAACAAAAGACAGCAACATGAGGAAGAAGGAGTATCCGAAAACAGAGGACTATCAGGGGCTGAAGGAACAGCTGGAGCAGACGTGGAAAGTAAACTACAAAGTGGTCCCAGTGGTAATATGAACACTAGGAACTGCAACCCCAAAACTGGAAGAATGGCTCCAGCAGATTCCAGGAACAACATCAGAGGTCGCTGTGCAGAAGTGTGACCTAAACTGACCACTCACAGTTTACTACAAGCCTCATTTACCCATTCACACACACACAATGGATACTGGGGGCAAAGTGGAGTTCTTGCCAGGTGCACTTCAACATTAACAGTGGTGGAGCTGCATACTGAACCACCAACCGTATGACTGCGAATAACCCAAACTACCTGCTGAGCCACAGCTGTGTTTGAGTGCATTACATGTGACTGTGTCTATATTCTGAGTGCTTCATGCATTCAAAATGAATGGTGCCTTCACAGATATCCACTTTATCTATGTCATGTGTATTAATGCACTCCTATACATTAGAGATACTGGCTTTTAAACTTAAAACAAGCTGGATCATCCCTCTGCTCTAGCACAGTGGATGTGCTAACCATAATTTTCTTAAAGAATTTTACATTTTGACTGTTGGCACATTAAAATTTTAACTTGCTTTATCAGCAATGAACTATATTTACTGACAACGGTTTTCAGATTTCCACATACTTTCCAATAGCCAAAAGTGCATTCTTAATGCAGGGTCATTTAAGGTTGTGAATATCACAGCCATTTATACTGGGTTTTCAGCCTTGTTCCTTGCATTTGCTTTTGAATAGTAATAATACAGTCACCAAATTCTTTGTGAGAAACCTGTTCTTAAATGGTTGAACCCCTCATCATCATTATGATCATTCTGAAGGTCTGACACTCAGTAGGGTGTTTGTGTTTTTACGTTTAATCATTATATTGGCCCATTGTCAGTTAAACTAAAAAAGTTGTTGGATGTTCCACCAATTCCATCTTTTTTAATATGTTTCCTGACATGTTTTTTGGAATCCAATTTAAAACAACTTTGGATACCTTCCCAAACATGTCTTCCCCTGTTTTAATATTTCTAATTAAATTAAAAGGATAATGTGAAAGGATAATAGAAAAGCCTAGGAAAGAAAACAATATAGCCATCACAGACACCCAAAAACAATATCTTCCAAAAAATTAAAGTGAACGCAATCGTGGTTTAAAAAGATCACCCCGAATAGTTTGCATCTGCCTTTGACCAAAACATTTACGGATTAATAAAAGTAGTAGAAGTATGGAAGGGCAGCCAAGAATATAAAGAGGAAACACTGCAGATGAAAATGAAGAGGATGACCTAGCTTACCTTGACATCAGCCTTCTTGTTGAGGAGACTCTTGGCTGCTGCAGAGAGGCAGAACGACACACCCTCAGATGGTAGAGTACACATTATTTACCTTCAGATGACGACTTTGTAATCTGCTCACACAAATGCAGATCCACATCCGCGGTCATTCATGCATGCATGCAGGCACTGGCTTAAAAGAAAAAAAAAAATCACCTGCTTGTCAAAGTGCACAAATAAATGTGAAGAGTTACAATGCCTATCCTCCCATCCACTACCACTAGGAGGAGGGGGGAAAGGAATTTACCCCTCCCTCTGAAAAAATGGAAAATTCTTTCCCTGCGTCTTAAAAAGCAAATGAATAAAATGTGCAAAAACTCACACATATATTAAAAAGAATTCTCCATCCTGCTAGCACTTCCTGACCCTGATCCATTGCCCAAAGCATTAGATAAGCAGAGGGCATCAAACACGAGGGAGGGGGGAGAAGTCAAACTAATTCTCTGTATAATCCAAATACACTCTCTCGCACCGTTGCACGCACAGGCATAGATAGAAGGGGGATTAGGAGCGAAAGCATGAGGGAAGAGGAACAGAGATGCAGGTATATGATAATGGGTTTGTTAATCTGAAGAGTAGGCTGGATTAATTCACAGAGTTCACTGATGGGCAGGAATTAGTCTGGGATGATGTGGAAAAAATAAAGTATGTGTTTTGCTGCTTAAATGCTGATAAAAAAAAAAGGAAGAAACAGCTTAAAACACTCCAGTTCTGCTGACATTAATCTTTTATCATGTTGGAGCTCTGAGTGGATGTGTGATCCCCAACCTAAAAGCAGCACTGAACAGTTACTGCACTCCACATTTAAAATGTGATAACTAAACTCCCACTTATACACCACAGTGCATGCTATTTGTCTGTACAAGGAAAGAAAAGTCTGTAATACTCTTCCCTTCAGATGAGAAATGAGATTGCTTACCTTGGCAAAAAGTTAAAGAAGCAATAAGGGTGAGGAAGAGGAGAGAAAGATTTAGGAAGAGAGATTAAAACAAGCTGAGGGATAGAGCTAAAGGAGTGTGTGATGTTGTGACCCTGGGAGATTTCCGTTTAATCACATCTGCTCCTGCCTCAATGAGGGGAAAGGATGTAAAGTTTTAAAAGCTGCAGGGAGAAAATGCTAAAAGATGTGCTTGCGAGATGTGTTTACCTTGTTCCACGATGCCAGCTGTGGTTCCTGCTACAGCGCTGACAGCAGCAGGGGCCGTAGTCTGACGGCCCACTGAAAAATACAGAGTATCATTAACAGTACCAGTCAAAACTTTAATACTACTATGTGAATGGATCAAAACTAAAAAATAACACGTATGGGTTTGTGTAGAAAGAAAGCATAACCAAAACGACTTTATATATGGGTGATATTGTATTTTAATGCCAAATCTGTTTCAAGAACAGCTTTGAATATTCTTCAGTCTTCAACTAGCTTCATGAGATCATCCCCTGAGTTTAAGCAACAACCTTGAAGAAATTCCCAATTGCTGATCACTTGTTGGCTGTTTTTCCTTCAATCTGTGCTCTAATTTATCATAATCTCACTTGACTGTCGGTCAGGCATTGTGGAAGTCAGATCATGGTAAATGGTAAATGGCCTGTATTTATATAGCGCTTTACTAGTCCCTAAGGACCCCAAAGCGCTTTACATATCCAGTCATCCACCCATTCACACACTGGTGATGGCAAGCTACATTGTAGCCACAGCCACCCTGGGGCGCACTGACAGAGGCGAGGCTGCCGGACACTGGCGCCACCGGGCCCTCTGACCACCACCAGTAGGCAATGGGTGAAGTGTCTTGCCCAAGGACACAACGACCGAGACTGTCCAAGCCGGGGCTCGAACCAGCAACCTTCCGATTACAAGGCGAACGCCTAACTCTTGAGCCACGATCGCCCCCATCATCTGATACAGCCCTCCATTATCCTTGTTATTGTTCACACAGCTCCCACGGGGCGTCTTGGTGTGACTTTACTCATGGTGCTACTGAAAAAAATGATGTTCGTTCTATCCATAAACAAGAGGGGATGTTGTGTTACTGCAGGATGTTATGGTACTTATGCCAGCCACGAATCTGTCTACAGACTGGAGAAATTGCATTGCTTCATATGGACACTTGAGGCTGACTTCAAAAGTGAGCCAATCCCCACAGACTTCCATGTTATAATGTCCAACTTTACAAGATAAATGAACATATTTGCAGGCTATTATAAAAATAATTATGTCTCCCCATTTCATAAGAACTGTATGTAAACAGCTTATTCTACTAGTGATTCTTGTTTTGAGTATCTGGTGCCCCAGGAAAGGACTTTGGAAATTTCAACAGGAAGCACCAGAAGATAACCGTTGCCCAACCATTGTGAACTTAGGAACCGGAATTCAAATTTTTGGCTCTTTTTTTTTTCTACTCATTTTTGTCACGTTGGATTATAGTCTCAAATGAGCTGGAGGCCTTTGTACTGAGTCACAGCTTCCCCATTTGAACTTTACTGGGCACAGGATAGAGCGGATCTCTTTCCTGATCAGTGCATACCCCTTCTCCTTACTCTCATTCCTCTCAACACTTGTACAAGAAATCAGCATTAGCATAGAATAGGTTAGTTAAATTAGGATAAAAGTCTGGTGAATTCATCAAGTGACTGTTACTATTTGATTAAACTTTTGCCAGTTCTTTTCCTGGCCACTAAAGAATAACCTGGTTAAATTTGCCATGTGCATGGACCATAGTGAAGAGCTGCTGTTAACAGGCAGAATCTCATAATTGACCTGCAGGGCTACTCAAAGTATTTCATCAGTAGATAGCAGGATCGACATCCAGAGGTTATCAGTTAGAACCAGGTGAATCTTCTCAACTCCGGCTCGGTAGTCTGGCATTACATGTTGGTCAATATCCTTTGGAATCAGAAGCTTTGATCCTTTAAATGAAGAGCCAGTCCACAACACTATAGGGATAACTGGTACAAATATAACTCAAAGAGTCTACAAACCCATATGATGTTGTCATCCCAGATGAACCATGACATTGTGACATTACCCATTGGTTAGTGAAGTGCTACTGCAAAGCCTCAAGCTGAGCTATCTTGGTCTTATGCAACTGGATGTGACATTCAATACGGTTATCTGACAGAGAAACAGAAGGACACTGCTTGCTCACAGACTAGTCACTTGTCAATTGCATGGTAAAAAAAAACTGTTTTATCCTTCTTTTTAACTCTAATGGTGATATAATTAAGAAAATAAGCATTGTAGTGAATTCAATAAGATTTAAATGTAGCTAAAAAGACTGATTCTTATATAGCGCTTTTCTACTCTCCCGGAGTACTCAAAGCGCTCTATACAACACGCCACATTCACCCAGTCACACCCATTCTCACTAGCACTACCTCTATACTGAGGGCTTTCTAACTACAGTCACACACATTCATACTCCGATGGATGCATCTTGGGGTTAGTATCTTGCCCAAGGATACTTGACATGCTGAGACTTTTTTTCAGGTGTTGAAAGTATTCAACAGGATTCATCGACCTACTTGTGCAGGTTGATGAACACTGTTTGTAATTAATTTGCTTGCAATTTGATGAGCTCCAGAAAATGCACGTTGTAGCACTAGAAATAAACTATTGTGTTAAGAGTTCTAATTTTGTATGTTTGGGGAAAATGTAAAAATAAATACTGGTATATCAGTTGTTCTTAGTTTTATAGTTTTTTTTAATATACAGGAGGGCTTACGATGTTAAATTTGTTAAATGGTTCTAGTCCTACCAACTGTAAGTCAAAATGCGATTGGTTAAAAAAAAAGAATTATAGTTTTTAGCCAGTAATCCTTTCATTTTAATGGAAATCTGATACACAACAAATACAAAACATGTTGCAAAAAATATTTGGCTTTCTCTAGATTTGCTAGTCAAGCAAATCGGGTCAGGCCAGTCAGTGTTCATTTCATTTTCTTAACACTACTATTAGCCTCTTTATGGATTTCAGTGACTTAGCTTTTGTCATTTATCATAAAAGAACAAAGTGACAAATAAACAAGATTTAGTTATATGTGACACTGACACAATATAAGTACAGCTATGTTGGGTGAGCTTTTAAATAAGACAAATCTCTACCATAGCATCTCCCATGAGCCTGTTATGTGTTAATGTGTGTTTTGTGTGTGTCTGTGTGTGTGTAGGTGTAAAGTTTTGAAGAGATGGCATGTCACCTCTCCTCATCACCTCTGTCTTTTTAAAGAGCAACACTCACCAGAGAAGTTCCTGGAGACAAGCATGGTAGTAAGAATGGCACCCTGATGAGGAAGAACACAGAAAAGCATTATAAGAATCCACCCTGAAACCTATTTAATATGCTGGTGTCGTGAATTAACTTTTAACCTGTATGTTAAGGATTAATAAATTAACACAAACAGAAACAGAGCAAATCAGGAGGCTTCACACTCTCCAGTGCAAATGTTCCCCTGTCTAACCTCACAATACAAGAAAAGAAGAAAATCTCTGAGCAAAGACCATAACATCACCATGTTACCAGGCTACAAGGGCAGGTGCACTGTTGTTCAAAACACAATGGATTATCACACGAAAATAACTACGCTGACACTATACCAATACCTATCGGCTACACCAAGGGGAAGCTATACCCTGTATTTAAAGACTTCCAAAGATCCACAAAGAACGGGTCTCACTCAGACCCAGTGTTATCAGTATAAACTCAGCCACCTACAACATTTCCAAACACCTTGCCACCATGCTAGCACCCGTTGTTGGAACACCCCCAATCACATCGAAAACTCCACTGACTTCACCAACAAGGACCAAAAACTTGATCCAGATGAAACCATAGTGTCTTTTATTGCGGTCTCTCTCTTCACTTGCATACCTACAATTGAGGCAGTGGAAACTCTCAGAAAACAACTACAACAAGACAGCTCCTTGGAAAACAGAACAAGCTTCACCCCAGATCAGATTTGCACACTGTTAGACTGCTTTACCACCACATATTTTAAATACAGTGAGGGTTTTACAGACAAAAACATGGATGTGCCATGGGTCTCCGGTGTCACCTATTGTAGCCAGCCTTTCCATGGAGGAAGTGGAAAGCACCAGGACAGCACCTAGCCACTGGTACACATAAACTGATGACACCTGGGTCAAAATCTAAATCCAAGAATTACAATCCTTCACTGCTCTCTTCAACTTAGTGGATAGAAACATAAAGTTCACCAAGGAAGACAAAAAGGATAGCATTGTGTTTGGTGGCTAATCGAAGCCTTACATCACTCCCACACTGTCAAGCTTATTGCGACATTTGTGATCTAGTCTTCAGGCTTTAAATCTCACTGCTCATCCATCATTTGCCCTTCCAGGTGCCTTCTAGCAACCCACACCCTCCACATCTCCGCCTTACCCAAGTCATTCAGTGACTCATCAGAGTCTAATCTCCAAATAACATAATTGTATTCTGTATATCAATAAATCATGTTCAATTGTTTCTAATGATATCTCCGAATTGAACTGCCTTTGTTTATATTGGAAACATTTAGGAAAAGATACTGGTACATGTTGAGTCTAAATATCACGCAACAGTTTCCAAATAATATGTCGCGTTTGACCACTGAGCTCACGTTTAAATTTCATATTTGCCTTTTTTTGTTGACCCTAAGTTTTGCCAAGAGAAATAGACTGAGCGGCCTATTAACAAATATCCTATGGTATACTATTATATAATAAGCTCAAGTTATTAATGTCCAGTTATTTAAAAATCAATACCTATTATCCATTACCTACTCCTACATAATGTCTGTGTGATAACAGTAAGCATCCCCCATGCCTCCCTTATCATTTTACTACACTACAAACTTCTTAAGCTGTGTTTAAAAAGGAAGACTACAGCAGGGAAGGGCAAATTGTTTTTATAGCTACTGTAGCTCCTTTTAAAAAATCTGAAATCAGTTCAAAACTGGTAGACATTAAGCTAGAGTAAGGGTTTCCTCCTTTCTCCTGAAATCAGAGATACAACTTCTTTTTGAACCATCAAATATTTTCACACCTTGAGTTTCCTCCTGGCATTAAATTTCTTCAGGCACTCGACGGTCTCCTGTCTGTGCATCATTGAGGCCACCGTTGAGCGTTGCTGTGGGGAGACAGAGAAAGAGATGCTGAAAATAAAATGTTACAAGAGCAGCTGTGACAGTGATAGGTTTATGTGGGCAGGAGCTGCCAGTGAGATTCTGCATTGGTGAAATGTGTTAATTCTGAGGCCCCTTAGGTAACAAAATTTCAGCAAAACTTCAGGATAAAGAGATTCAACTTGGCTTTACAGTATCCCCACAATACATTCTGTTTCCTTACAGAGATAATGATATGTTGTTATGTTAAGGATTTAGATCTTTGACTTAGCTAGTGATTTTGTTGCGTTTTTGGGCCAATTTCTCTCAAATTTTACATTAGTCATTCTTACTAACTATTCCTGCAAACATCACAGGTACTGGGTTTGTGACTTAAACTGATGAAGACAGTCAAGAAAATATTGTTTTACAAATTATAAATGGAAAATACTGTAAATGTAACTTTTTTTTCTTGTTGCTATGATCATATTTTTAAAGATATTGTGCCAAAGTTTTATTGCAGAAACTGGCAAATGTTCACTTAAAACTCCAGTGAATACAATTGCCTAAGGGAATATTAAAATAATACAAATAATACATTTGACATAAACTAGTTTTAAACTGAAAAGTACTGAATTCATTGAATTAAACTGACATTTTTATACCCCAAAAAATTACCAACAAAACATGGTAGCACCAAAGCTCATTTAGATAGCAACTGTGTTTCTGATTATTTTATTACAGTCAAAACAAGTCATTTAATTCATTTAACTGCATTTTCCTTCTGAATCTTGTATCAAAAAACACGTTTATCAAAAAGTACTTTTCCTGAAAGAAAAGTGTTCCATTGGGCTCAAGCTTGTGTTTTTAGTTCAGAATCCAGAGTCTCTTGAATTGTTACATTAATCAAAGGCCCTTGTAAGATGACATTTATTTACAGAGCATCAAGCTGTGATTTATTGCCAAACAAATTGAACATTTCAGTGTATTTTTATTATACACACTAACACACTGTTTAAGATGTCAATTTACTACTACTACTTTAAACATAATTGTAATTTTCTAGACTTCTTTGGAGAGTCTAGAGATTTCTGCAGGAATTTAACTTATCATGTGGAACTCAGTTCTTGGTTGCTGAAGGTTAATAGGCTGAACTTTTGCCTGTCTATGGAAAAAACCATATTCAAGATAAGCTGACATGTCAGCACATATTTGCACATGTCATATTTGGCAGTTTTAAGCACATGTTCTCATAGTTGCTGAGAGAGGATTTGCAAATTACAAATTGCTTGATAGTCAAATCAGGAGCTGTGAAATATTGTTTCCTGTCTGTTTTAATAGGATGCTGGATGTGTATATGCTACTTACGCAGACCCATGGGTGCTTCAGAGCCTCCTGGGCAGTGATTCTCTTGGCTGGATTAATAGTAAGCATCTGGTTGATCAGATTTTTAGCCTCGGGAGTCACTGTGTCCCACTCTGGGGAGGGAAACTAAACCAAACGCACACCTAAGCATGCCCACATATACAATAAAAATATGTACCACATCTTATTTAACTTAAAGAGAAACAGAGATGAGAAGCTGACTAACATCATATGCTCCAGCTTTGATCTGTTGGTAGAGTTTGTGTTGGTCCTCGTCCCAGAACGGAGGGTACCCAACCAAAAGGATGTAGAGGATCACACCTACACACATAAACAGCCATTGTTTGAGTGCCAAGAACAAAATTGGCAGAGGTGGTGCTGAAAATAGAAAAAAAAAAACACCTACCACATGCCCAGATGTCTACAGGTTTACCATATGCTTCTTTCCTCAGCACTTCTGGAGACAAGTAGCCGGGAGTACCCGCAAAGCCTACACACGAAAACAAAAAGCAACACAAATGAAGGCCCTGTTTCTTGGCGAAAGTACAGAAAAGAATGCATTTTAACCCTCTCAAGGCAGGCGTTGCAGATTTGCAACAGTTAAAAACTAACAACCTGATTACCCCACATACATATTTTATGAGTTTTTTTTACTCAGAAGTACCACTGCAGGACTTGGTTGTGCATTAGCAACAAAAAGTTTAATTTGAGCCTGAGAGGGTTAAAAGGTTCTGCTCCTATGCTTTAGATAACCTCTTATTTTGGTGCTTAACTTTTATAGTTTGATTTGTCTTTTGTGATACCTTTAAAAGGTGGTGGGGCAGCTGTGGTTCAAATGGGTTGTCTACTAATCAGAACGTCAGGGGAAACGTTATCCCTGGGCTGAGCTCCAAGTTACGGCCAGTCAAGTGGTATCAATTCCTTTGTACTACAGGAACTGCATGCATACTCTGTCAACAGGAGGCTGGACATTATTGTTCATCAGGAGGAACCAAGGAACCAAGGACCCACTGCACCAGCACAGGATCTGCCAATTGGTTGAAGGATCCCAATATCTTCTGGCAGTCAGTGTCGCATTGCCTAGCTTATAGTGGACTGTGTATCACTCCATGGATATGTTTTTCCACACCATAATTGACACACCAACACAACAGCCATGCTAAATGATCTTACAGGCAGCATAACATTCTCCATAGCTTCTTTCACGTCTGTCATGTGCTCAAGATGAATCTGCTCTCATCTCTGAAAAGCGTAGGGTGGCAGTGGTGAACTTGCCAATTTGGATATTCTATGATGAATGCCATTTGGGCTCCACAATACTGGGCAGTGATCATAGGGCTCACTAGAGGATGCTGACACCTCAGGTCACCCTCAAATCAAATTATTATATTATATAGTGCCAAATTTAAAAAAAACAAAAACAAAACAGCTGCCTCAAGCCGTTTTTATATTAAAAGGTAAAGATCCTACAATAATACAAGTCTGTTTCTGATTATTTGGTCAGAGACATTCACACCAGTGGCTTGCTTGAGATCATTTTGTAGGGTTCTGGCAGTGGCCATACTGTTTCTTCCAGCACAAAGGACACGCATGCCACTTAAGGACCTTCTATGGTCCTGTCCAGCTTTCCTAGAGTAACTGCTTGGAAATTCTGGAATTTCCTCCATGCACTTACCACTGGAATGGGAGACACAGCAAACGTTCTGTCAATGGCATGTATTGATGTGCCATCCTGAAGGAGTTCGACTACATGTACAACCTCTGTAGGGTCCAAGTGTTGCATCAGTACAGGGAGTGCAGAATTATTAGGCAAATGAGTATTTTGTCCATCCTCTTCATGCATGTTGTCTTACTCCAAGCTGTATAGCCTTCTACCAATTAAGCATATTAGGTGATGTGCATCTCTGTAATGAGAAGGGGTGTGGTCTAATGACATCAACACCCTATATCAGGTGTGCATAATTATTAGGCAACGTCCTTTCCTTTGGCAAAATGGGTCAAAAGAAGGACTTGACAGGCTCAGAAAAGTCAAAAATAGTGAGATATCTTGCAGAGGGATGCAGCAGTCTCAAAATTGCAAAGCTTCTGAAGCGTGATCATCGAACAATCAAGCGTTTCATTCAAAATAGTCAACAGGGTCGCAAGAAGCGTGTGGAAAAACCAAGGCGCAAATAACTGCCCATGAACTGAGAAAAGTCAAGCGTGCAGCTGCCAAGATGCCACTTGCCACCAGTTTGGCCATATTTCAGAGCTGCAACATCACTGGAGTGCCCAAAAGCACAAGGTGTGCAATACTCAGAGACATGGCCAAGGTAAGAAAGGCTGAAAGACGACCACCACTGAACAAGACACACAAGCTGAAACGTCAAGACTGGGCCAAGAAATATCTCAAGACTGGTTTTTCTAAGGTTTTATGGACTGATGAAATGAGAGTGAGTCTTGATGGGCCAGATGGATGGGCCCGTGGCTGGATTGGTAAAGGGCAGAGAGCTCCAGTCCGACTCAGACGCCAGCAAGGTGGAGGTGGAGTACTGGTTTGGGCTGGTATCATCAAAGATGAGCTTGTGGGGCCTTTTCGGGTTGAGGATGGAGTCAAGCTCAACTCCCAGTCCTACTGCCAGTTTCTGGAAGACACCTTCTTCAAGCAGTGGTACAGGAAGAAGTCTGCATCCTTCAAGAAAAACATGATTTTCATGCAGGACAATGCTCCATCACACGCGTCCAAGTACTCCACAGCGTGGCTGGCAAGAAAGGGTATAAAAGAAGAAAAACTAATGACATGGCCCCTTGTTCACCTGATCTGAACCCCATTGAGAACCTGTGGTCCATCATCAAATGTGAGATTTACAAGGAGGGAAAACAGTACACCTCTCTGAACAGTGTCTGGGAGGCTGTGGTTGCTGCTGCACGCAATGTTGATGGTGAACAGATCAAAACACTGACAGAATCCATGGATGGCAGGCTTTTGAGTGTCCTTGCAAAGAAAGGTGGCTATATTGGTCGCTGATTTGTTTTTGAATGTCAGAAATGTATATTTGTGAATGTGGAGATGTTATATTGGTTTCACTGGTAAAAATAAATAATTGAAATGGGTATATATTTGTTTTTTGTTAAGTTGCCTAATAATTATGCACAGTAATAGTCACCTGCACACACAGATATCCCCCTAAAATAGCTAAAACTAAAAACAAACTAAAAACTACTTCCAAAAACATTCAGCTTTGATATTAATGAGTTTTTTGGGTTCATTGAGAACATGGTTGTTGTTCAATAATAAAATTATTCCTCAAAAATACAACTTGCCTAATAATTCTGCACTCCCTGTATGAGACTGACCTTAGTCAAAAGTGTTGAAAAAACAATGAGAAAACCCAAAGAAGGACAAATATCTGTGGCTTCAACTTGTATAACCCTTTGTGTTTTGGGGGTTGTCTTATCTTTTAGATAATCTCTTATTTAGAATTAGATCATCTTTGTCTTCTAAATGCTTCCTTAATTTTTTGAGCATGAAACTTTGTCTGTAGCATTCTTTCTAATTGTACATATGTTTTGAAATTAATGGAGATGCTTTTCTAATTGTGTTATTTTTAATAACACCTACAGACACATGCACACTTCTGTGTGTGTGTGTGTGCGCGTGTGTGTGTGTGTGTGTCTTACCAAACCAAGCCTGTTGGTCTCCTTGTACTTCAATGGCCAGTCCAAAATCAGCCAACTTGACTGCTGCGTTCTTACATTTGCTGGCCAGCAGCAGGTTTTCTGGCTGAAGGTGTAACACAAGCACAGTCGTGTCATGTTAGTGTTACATTTTATGACCTTATTAATTTATGTCTCAAGGTTGTTACGACATTGTTACTGAAAGGCTTTTCTTAAATTACTTCAGAAGGGGTGGCAAAATCTAGGGACGTTTTTATTTCATGTTAAGTCATTTGTAACTCCATCTAACCTATCTTACACACTCGCAACAAGTACTATAATCACTATGCAAAGATCTCAACAGTAATCTTGCAGAGTTGAGCCAGATAAAAGTTTAGTATCACATTCAGCAAGCTTAAGTTTAAAAAAAAAAAAATTGCGCTTTAATTTGGTTTCTTTGTGGGTGATATTTTATTTTATTTTATTTTAAGGCAGTGGTCTTTCTGTGACATTTTATTTTTTAGCAACTGGAAGGACCTGTCCTTCCAAGATGGTCCCTGTTCTTTTTTTCTTGAGTTTCTGCTGCCTGGGGTATTCCCTAAGCACATGCTCAGTGCTACATCATTGCTACATCTTCCTGATGTACTGATGGATCTTTGTTGTTTCATCTTGGATAGTATTTCTGACACTGACTAATCAGTCTCTTTCCTCCCCCTCAGTGTACAGTGGCACTAGGCTTGGGATGGAACCCTCCACGTATGGTAAGGAGCTTTCTTGTCTTGGTGTCAGTGGCTTATATTTCATATTTTGGCCAGCTTATTATCCTAGCAGAGCACCTGATGACTGATGATGATGATGTTTATGACTATGCAGCATAAGCATGTGTGAGGCATTCATACAGAACTTTTTCATAATGTTGCTATTTGCTGGGATTGACACATCTATCACAACTGCAGTCCTCTGTTCCCTGTCAATCACCACTATGACTGGTTGCTTGGACAGCAGCTTCCTAACTCCCACAAGAATTTAGCCCCATTTGTTCTCAACCATCTTTGATGGTGTCTCCTTTAGTGACTTGGGGAGTTCTAGTCCACATGTGGCGCAGATGTTTCTATAGAGCTACTTGGTTGCGCCGCTCGGTGTACTCTGTCCAAGCTTGCATCTTGCACCCTGCTACTATATGTTGGATAGTCTCCGGGGCACCTTTGCACTGTCCGCAACTTGAGTCCTGTTGGCCTGAGGTAGTGTCCTGCTTCTGCTGATATCATGCTCAGCTGTGTGTGTATATGCAAACATTTAGAAAATCAATAAATGCATTTGGGGGGAGGGGGGGTAGTCAACTGGTTGTGGAAAATGGGGCATTAGGAACAAGTTTCTTCTCTTACTTCTTTTCCTATACATAATTTTAAAGGGAAAACAGGAGAATGAGGCAGACCAGTTATACCCAGATCAGAACGCTAAAAATAGTTATGGCTACAGACATATTCAGAGATACAGTCATACATTTTCCAGCAAATAAAATGTACTCTCTCATTTTGAGGTTGAGACACACAGATGGGACTGGAAAATGTGTATAAGCCTTTTTTGCCTTTGTTTACTTGAGGACGACCAAACACATCTTGTCTGTCTGCAATAGTCGTGTCTTTGCTGCTCAGACGCTGATGTAAAAAGCAAATGTGACAAATAACTACACAGGAATGACAGCTCTTTGCTGTCTGACTAGTTTATGCTAAGAGTGACAGATCTGTGTCACAGAAGCAGCAATCATTTCACCACAGTGATAGAAACAGCTGTATGCTGTAATCCAGCTGAAGGACAGTCATCATGTCACCCTCTGCTGGTTGATTTAAAAACACAGAAGGTGCATACAATAAAGGCCTTAACTTACTGTGCCCAGTAGATCAATCTTATTCAGAAATATTCCACAACTGTTGGACAAATGTATTTTTCATTCCACAAAGAACAGACTCAGTTGTTTGATATTTTAGGAAATACTACTACACTTTATTAATAAAATGTTCTAGTTCTAGTTCATTTGGACAACTTAAAATAACCCAAAACAAAACAAAACACTTTCTAAGTCAAGATTTGAACTTCAGACTAATCGGGGAATTAATTGTTGTACTTTTTTACTTAGTCAAAATGAACAGATGATGTTTTTGTACTTTTTGACACTATATCATAATCATGATAAAGAGATAAAAATCAGAAATTTGCTTTAGAAAATAATCAGTAGGTAACTGTAGTTTCCATGTTTATACCTGGAAAAAAAAATTCACATTTGATATTTGCATAAAATTTATAAAATCCTAACAGAACACATGCAGAGGATTCCACACAAATGCACCGTACAGTGATGTTGGTACTGAAATAAGCATCCAACCATAGTCTGATTAGAGCAGGCTCAGGCTGAGAATTATCGTTGTTTCTATTTCTGTGTCTAGACAGCAAAAAAAACAAAAAACAATCTAAGTGACTATGAAAGTGAATTCATTGTTAACTCCAACAGTGGGGGTGGTGTGGGGGTTTTATACTGTCCTCTTAAAGAAAAGGGTCACTGCAAATCAACATAAAATGATGTTGTATATAATGTAGTATTTCTTTGAAGATGGGAGTGTTCTCTCCATGATGACACTGTCACGAATCACAGGATGCAAGGGGCCACTAACTGGTTCAATGAAAATGTAGTACCGTCTAAAATATAGTGAGTACAGACTATATAGTGCACTCAAAGAATTCTTCAATGTTTTACGAAAAGTAGTGTACATCTGATGGTCGCTACTCAAGCATTGTATCCAATCATGCATTGTATTAAAGTGAGAGATGAAAATAAAGAGAGCAGTGCATCAAAGCATTAACTAATACCATGATGAAATATGGCAGATTTAATAAGTATTGCTGAAAAAAACATTGCAATCAGTATTTATTAAGTATTTATTAAATGAAATATTTATTTATTTATGTACAGAATATTGACAAAAGTATTACTTATCCATCTAAATCCTTAAATTCAGGTAATCCAATCACTTCCATGGCCACAGGTATATAAACTCAAGCAACTAGTCATACACACTGCTTCTGTAAACATTTGGGAAAGATTGGGTCGCTCTCAGGAGTTCAGTGAATTCTAGTGTGATGCCGTGATAGGATGCCACCTCCAAACAAGTCCAGCTGTGAAACTTCCTTGCTATTAAATATTCCATAGTAAACTGTTGGGGGGAAATATAACAAAGTAGAAGTCATTGAGAATGACAGCAACTATGCCATGAACTAGTAGGCCAGGTAAACTGCATAGTGTGCTGAGGTTGGCAATCACTACAGATCTCCAAATTGGGCCTTCACATTAGCTCAAGAAGATTACATAGAGAGCTTCATGGAATGGCCACTTCATGACCAAGTTCCAAATGCAGTGAAGTAAAGCATGCCGCCACTGGACTCTAGAGCAGTAGAGAAGTGTTCTCTGGAGTGATGCATCATGCTTCTTTGTCTGGCAATCTGATCAACAAGTCTGGATTTGGCTATTGCCAGGAGAACAGTACTTGTCTGATTGCACTGTGCAAAGGATAACATTTGGTTGAGGGGGAATCATGATGCGGGGTCATTTTCAGTAGTTGGGCTCAGCCCCTTAGTTCCAATGAAAAGAACTCTTAATGCTTCAGCATACCAAGACATTTTGGAGAATTTCATGCTCCCAACTTTGTGGGAACAGTTTGAGGATGACCCTCTCCTGTTCCAACATGACTGTGCACCAGTGCACCGGGGGGAAAATCTAAACCTACATGGTCTTGTGTGAAAAAGCCCCTTAAATCAAATAACTGGTTGGGTCAGTTATTAGTAATAAACACCTTAGTTCAATGTTTTTGGGTTCTCAGTTTGGCTGTTATTATTTATTCTTATTTGCCACATTTCTAAGTATCTTATTTCATATATCTTTGTTTCAGTTTCTGGCTATTCTGCCTTTGGTTTTGTACAGTTATTTTATAATTTACAATTTATATATTACATTTTTTTATAATGATTTTTTATTAAATGTGTACAGTCTTCCCTTTGTGCCCCATTGTGCCCATCTGTCTTTGATTTGTTCTAGCTGTTTTCCCCCACCGTTTCCCCTAGCCTCATTACTGTCATTATTGTCTCAGTCTCCTCTTGCCCCTCTGTTGAGTCACCCACAGTATGCTTTCTAGATTTCCTAGTGCGTCCTAGTATTACACTCCTTGTATAATTACTCTTTGTGCCTCCTTTTGCTTTCTGTTTTGGGATCATGTTTTCCTTTGATCAATCCAGCATTAAATATTCACCTTATGCTCACTTTGGTCTCCTGCATTCTGCACTTGGGTTGGAAAACAATTAACCAAATTCCACACAGTTAATAGTCACAGAGCAAGTTGACCGCACAAAGCACCCAGAGGGCACAACAATCTACATGGAAGAAAATGACTTAGACTGTTCTAGGTTTCTAGTCTACTCACAAAGACTGAGAGAAACAGCTGATATGAGGGCTTGGCCAGCTGCTATCTCAGCATTCGAAGGTATAAAATCTCACAAACCTCAACTGCTTCACTAGCTGGTTATTCCCACTTCTTACTCCCAGTTACTTCACAGTAATAGACTATTATAGGACAATTCAATTCAATTCAGTTCAATTTAATCTTATTTATGTAGCACCAAATCACAACAACAGTTCCCTAAGGGGTTTTATATTGTTAGGTAAAGACCCTACAATAACACAGAGAAAATAAAAAACAACAACAACAATTAGATGGCCCCCTATTAGCAAGCACTTTGGGGACAGTGGGAAGGAAAAAGTCCTTTTTTAACCAGAAGAACTTCCCCAGCAGCCATGTGCCAAAACTGGTTGGTTTCAAGGGGAGGAGAACAGAACAAAAGACACACTCTGGAAGAGAGCCAGGAATGAATAATAATAATAATTACGTGCAGAGTAGTGTTTAAAAACATAGTGAGTGAAAGAAAGGTGAGTGAACACTTGTGCATTAGTGCACTAGTGCATTACACCCCGAGGAGCCTAAGGTTATTGCACTAATTCAGGGTCACCTAATCCAGACCTAAGAAAATGCTTTGTCAAAAAGGAAAATTTTAAGCCTAATCTTAAAAGCAGACAGTGTGTCTGTCTCCCAAATCCAAATTGGGAGCTGTTTCCACAGAAGAGAGGGCTCCTCAGGTTGTACAGGCTGCCTTAGTTTCTATATTTCCTGGGTCAGAGAGAGTGCTGATCTACCCAAGGCCTTCCCTGAATCTGTGTCTCAGCAAGTGAACCCAGTGAATTCTGAACAAACTAGTCTAGCCAACTTGGAGCTTCCACTGTATCCTGCACTGGAGCTGCTGTGGACCCAGACATCAGAAAAGTGCACCCTACTCAGCTCCCACAAGAGTTGACAGAGTCTTCTGAGTATCCTGAACCTCAGGGTAGGATTTATCTACTCCATTGGCCAGTAGCTGTGGGGTCCAACTAGCCCCCACAGCTACTTAGTCTCCGCCACTGGCCACCTCACCAGCTCCCTGAGCTGAATCATCTCTGCCAAGGCCTCTGTCCTTTGTCCTTTGATCCTGCCCCATGAAGTACACGGTCATGGAATAAAACATTTGGCAAGCTTTTCAAGACCATTTAAGGGGAAATAAACAGGCTTTCCAACAGCACAAGATTTATTAATTTTATTTGGTAATTTATTAATTATTATTTATTAATTAATGACCAAACACAATTTTTTTTTACTTTTTGTACTAAGTTTATATAGTCTTAAAATCAATAAAAAGCCATCACACAGATTTCTGCTATAAATGTAATATAAATTGCTATATTAATGTTAACATACATTCTTGACAATATTTTGTCTTGACTGCATCATTACAAAAGATTATTTGGGTTTTTTTTGTTCTTTATAGAGCTTTAGGTTGTTGTTTAATTATATGTTGGTTGGTTATTAACATTGTTTTTTTTTAATTTGTTTATTTGCTACTCATACATACTGCACAAATCACTAAAAAATGTATGTAATTCAGTACAGCAGATATTGTTTTATACAGCTGCAGTATGTATCTATGCTGTAAGAAACAGCATATGATAATAAGAGGAACGCTTGATATACACAAAAAATATTCAAACATTCCTCTGTGAAGGATTAGTTACTTTCATCTGTGAACAGGGATTCATTGTTACCTGTTCAGATATACATACATATCCTGCTTAAACATGAAGCAGGTCAATGAAAGTCCAAAGGAACTTAATCAAAAGAACGTCAGCTGCGTGGTATACATCACTGCAGCACTGGAGGTGAGCAGACACAAGGTTTCCACCTGCTATGAAATTTCTCTTTCAGTTGTAGTCCACTCAAGTGCATGCACAAGACAGAACTTCAACATATGTGCACAAACACTCATGCACGTTTTGATAAGTCCAGCCCATAGACATGCACAGACATGCTGGATATAAATATTTTCACTGCACTTACCAGCTGTCAATTACAACAGTCAGACAAAACACAGAACTATGGAGAACCGCTTACTGATTTACAAAAAAGTGAGACCACAGCCATACTGGGCCTTCATCAGGCAAACAGACAGGCAACATGACATCAGAAGATGATATCCAGACCAAACTGCAATACAGATGACAAAACTCAACAAAACGTAATCTGCTACACCACTCACATATGACAGTGGGAATTCCACATAGAACCTTTTTTTAAAAATTTGGAACACTTTTCGAAAAACCGGCACTGTTCATAATTAATCATTTGTATTAACATTTGGAAGGTATCATTCTTTTTGTGGAAGCTCTATATTTTTCCTTCATGGACTCTTGTCCCTGAGCTAAACCTGACCTGAACATAGTACAGAATGTTCCTTATACTGATTTTATAGCTGTGCAGCTAAAATTCACACACCTACATGGACACAGACACATGACCTGCTCGTGACTCACCTTGAGATCTCTGTGAACCACACCCATCTGATGGCAGTGGAGCACGGCCTCCAGGATCTGCTGGATGCAATGACTGCATGCAGACAGCAGGGGGAGCAGGTTAGTCTGAACACATTTAGCACATTGATCCCCAACTGTCACAGGCACACATACATGTTTTCAGTGTAGGAACCAGCTCTCTCTTCCACACTCAACACGTTTGCACACACATATAAAAAAGTGTGAACCTGTCTGTGAGCTACACAGAGAGAATGCGTGCAGTTTGCTATTTTCTGCTTTAAAGAAAGTGCCAAATATTAGTCAGGCAGCGTAGGAGGGCTCTGCAGCTCCGTGTGGGAGACACTCTGTCTAACCTGTATATTTTTGTGTGTAATTTATTTAGCAGCAGTGATAACAAAGCCTTTGAGGAAAGGATTCTGCAAGTATTTAAAGTTGTCACTGCTGCCACTCTATTGACCTCTACTCCTTCACCCGTTCTCAGGTTTTCTCACTCACTCAGTCACTCTTGCTCAAAGTATGACAGTCCTAGGACCCACAGGAATTGTAAATATATTTCAGACTTCTAAAATAGTACAACAAGAGCTGCAAAAGCAGAACCAGAAGACAGGCAAGACAGGCAAGGGGAGACAAACAAACAGGCAGCAGGCACAGACAAAACTTGTATCAAATCACAGGCAAAAATTAAAAAACAGGACTATAAAATACAAGCAGCTCTTGTACAGCGGGTGCACAGCAATGCAACACAGTGAGACACACACACACACACCTTGAGGTCCCTGTGCACTATGTCATGGTGGTGGGTGTAAGAGACACTGTCTAGAATCTGATGAATACAGTGACTGTGGAGACAGAACAACACAGTGAAGACCAGATAAAGGAAGCAACACGAGAAGGAAAGGGACCAAAAACATAGTAAGAAAGAGAAGTGGACAGAGAAGAGAACGGGAAGATCTGAGGCACAGAGGCTGTTGCAGGGCGAGGAAGCGAGGGAGTTGATGTGAGAAGCACTTTACATATTTCCTGATTTGACTAGACTAGACATATAGAGTTATTTTAAATCTCCATTGCTAAGATTTCATTCAGTTCATAAACATATCTTTGTTTCTTCGTCTTGCTATTCTGTTCAAATGAAAAGTGAACTTTTAATCCATGTACATGGAGCTTTTCTAAAATGGCCTCCAGAGTGTGTAAACCTGAAAACACAGCTGCACTATGTGACAATGAGAGAAAAGGAGCTTTGTAGACCTGTCATCATATTGCTAATAAAACCGAACATGAAACTGTGTACTTTACAATTGTTGCTAAAACAGACTGTGTGTACAGTGGTGTGAAAAAACAGTTTTCCTGTTTTTTTGTCACAAACAAATTTAAACATTAAACAAATATAACACAAAATGCACTTTCTAAATAAAGCTGTTTATTATCAAGGGGGGGGGGGGGGGGGGGGGGGGGAATCCATGCCTACATGGCCCTCTGCGAAAAAGTGATTGCCCCCAGTAAATTTATGCTTTATAACATAAATTAACTGTGGTGTTTTATATCTTTGGAAAGCGGAGTTCACTTTCTTTAGTCACACCCACACACACATAACCTTAAAAAGATGGTTTATGTTCTAAAACCCTTTAATGTGGCTGAATTAGAACAACTCTGCAAAAATGAGTGGGCCAAAAGTCCTCCACAGCACTAGAAAAGACTGGAAAAGATTGCCAGTTATCACAAATGCTTATTTGCAGTTGTTGCTGCTAAAGGGTGGCCCAACCAGTTATTAGGTTTAGGGGGCAATTGCTTTTCACACAGGGCCATGTAGGGTTGGAATTTATTCCCCTTAATAATAAATAAAAAAAAACAACCTTTATTCAAAACAGCATTTTGTGTTTATTTGTGTTATCTTTGTCTAATATTTAAATTTGTTTGATCTGAAACATTTAAGTGTGACAAACATACAAAAAAATAGGAAATAAGGAAGGTGCAAACACTTTTTCACACCATGGCAAAAGACAGACAAAGCTACAGTAACATTACTCATTACTTTTTTGAAGTTGGATGGAACAGTTGTGCAGTGGTTAGAAATGTCACCTATGAAAGCTGTGATAAGCCCGCTGACTCTCAACTGGTAAGTGACTGAAAAAATGGACAGAAGGAAATTCTGAAGCCTCATGTTTGCAGTATTTTTACTGTTGCCTTCTTGTGTTTTTTTTCTAGCTGAATATCCCAGATTAGGTATGGACTTGAATAAGAAGTAAACAACACATCCATATGTGTCGATCCCAAAGTAGCTTTGCCATTTGTCAAAGCATATAAAATGGTTTAAAAATGGTTTAAAATGAGTAATTTTATTGAGTAATTATCAATAAAACAGGCTTTGGGTAGACTAAGACCACTAACACACTTAGCATATGAAATGACTTGATTATAGTCTATTGCAAACAAGGACATGGACAGCTGAGCTGGAGACCTGATAGTCAAGTAGTCATTCTTGTGACATTTCTTTAAAGTCCACTATCAAGGGCACATGCATTGTAATATAAATTTTCTGTGGACACAAAAAACTAAGCATTTGCTCACTGTGTGATGATGACATTTACATCACTCAGAAGCAAGCATACCCTAGTGGACTTGTGAGTGTGGAAAGTATTATCAGGATTTAAGAAAGATTAGTCCCATTACAAAGCCAGAAACTCAACATTTTCACCAGAACCATCTTGGATTTTTGATATCCAATGTGATGAGCAAAGGGGGACTCTGACGGAGAGCATTCTGCCATTTACCTAAGTAGGCTTGCACTAATACACGATGGAATCTAATGGAGTCTAAAACATAATTCATGAAATTAACCCTCTCCAGGCAGACGTTGCAGATTTGCAACAGTTAAGACCTAACAACCTGATTACCCCACATACATATTTTATGAGTTTTTTTTACTCAGAAGTACCACTGCAGGACTTGGTTGTGCATTAGCAACACAAAACGTAATTTGGGCCTGAGAGGGTTAAGGTCGAACACAAGATCAGTAAGGAAGATCTATATTCATCCATCTGTTTCCATTCCTGTGTGTTTGAGCTGGTAGTGTATCCTTTGCAACACGTCTGCTTTCCCACGATAAACAAACTCAATTCTGTCATCACTCTGGCCCATTCTTTTTTTGTTTTTTTTTGCCTGCCCTCTGTGAGCCAATCATTCTGTTTTCCATGCGCTTTAAACGTCATTGCTGTTTTATCACTCTGCCTTTAAGAAGCACATTCCTCCTCCCCATATCCACCTTATCCTGGCCACCACCAGCATCTAGGCTACATTCACTAGACTTTCCTTTGCTATGTAGCTTCATAGAAATTATTTGGTGATTCGATTCTAACTCTGCATTTCAAAAAGCATGTTCAGTTCTTCTTTTTAAAATAAATGTCCTTTTTATAGTCAGTAATACTTGAAACTACTTATTGAGACTGTACACTCATCAGTTTAGTGCAAATAACAGATCAAGGGATCAGAGCGCCATTTTCCCACAGATTTCTTACATGTACAACCATATTTCTTTTTGAAACCACAGCAATCGCCCCTTTGTGGCTTTCAGAAAGAATGTAGAGACACTTTTGCAATGCTTGTATACAGTAAAGTGTAAGCAATCTAGCTGTTGTCCAGTGTTGTCAAGGTGCATATCCAAATTGAAGACAAGTAATAACCAGCACTGAGGAATACATGCCCTGGCATGTATTCTTCAGTGCTGGTTGAAATATTTCTTTACGTCAATTTGACTCAGCTTCAAGGAAAAACGATGCAGTGATAGAGCTATGAATCAACATCAGCTTCACTTCTTGACTTGTTGGTGCACACAGTAAAGTTAGCTCTTAATTACCCAATAGTCAAATTAGCTATAGCAGCTAGTTAGATAGAAGATTCTGAACAGGGCTGAACAGGTTGCGAATAGGATATTGAGCTGTGATCAGCAGGGATAATGGATGCATGGACACATGGAGATGTTGCTGGCTACGCAGAGCAGCAGAGGAATAATAACTGCACTAAACAGAGATGTCCAGAATATGAAGAACTAAAGAAAGAGTGAAATCTGGAGCAGAGCACCACAGAGGAGCAGAGCTGAGGAGGTGAAAGGCTGAAGACTGAGGCAGAGCAGCATGTATACTGGAAAAGAGAGATACTGGAGGACTTTAGTAATAATTCATTTCCTATTCTTCTTAAGAAACATAAGATATTAATTGTTATTTTTGAACTTTGTTATAGCCAGCTGTGCGGTCAGCTTTAAAATGCTGGTAGCATGGTGGTGTGTTGGTTAGCACTGTTGCCTCAGAGCAAGGTTTGAATCCACCATCTGGCCACAGCCTTTGTGGGGTTTGCTTGTTCTAATCTGTAGCTGTTTTGGTTTTCGCTGGGTAATCTGGATCTCCCACAGTCCAAAGATATGCAGTTAGTAAGGTTAGGTTAATTGCTGATTCTAAATTTGGCCATAGGTGTGAGTGGCTCTCTGTTAACCCTGCGACTCTGCTGTATAAATAAAACTGAACTGAAATATTGGACTGTAAAGCTTAGATGCTTCCAGCACATCATTTGTAGCTGAACTTTGGTCACTAGTGTACCTGGCTGCATAGATAACCCTCAAATGTATTTACCACACTTCACTCCCTTTGGTTGTTTCTTCAGTTATGGGTCTTAGTTTTGTAGAATCTTTATGTTTTCTTTTGGGGTTGTGATGTTATTTATGTTCTAGTCTTTATTATTTTGTATTGAGTATTATATTAAGTCTTTGTGGTTCTAGTCCACTGTTTCATTGTGAAGTCCGCTCCCTCCTTTCTTCATTGTGTCCCAGTCTCCTCTGCTTCGTCTTCTGCGTAAACTCTATCTTGTCTGTGTTTTATCTTCTGTCTGCATCAAGCTAGTGTATCTTTGTCCAGGGCTCCGTGTCAGTCATGTCTCCGTGTATATCTCTTGTCCTTGTCCGTTCTCATGTCTTAATCTGGGTTGCTATATTTGTTTACCTGCATTTCCGTTCCCATTCTCTGTTGCTTCCTGTTTTACTTTGGTTGCCTGTGTCTCGTCTCCAGTATGTTCAGTTTTGCTCTCCAT